CTGGAAGGAATGTTCTCCTATGACACTAAATGCCAGACTAAGATTGATATGTACAGTTGTGGATGAAAGCCACAGCAGCAACAAGGGAGAGAAATCTGTACGAGCCCCACAGCATCCCTCAAAGCTTGTCCGGCAGAATCCTATTGGATTAAAAGGAAGACTGCTGTCCCTAAGTACTAAGGAGTGACAGAGCTAGAAGCCAGGAGTTCTGGTTATGGTCCCCTGATAGGGAATCAAATCCCAAAGGGCCTCAGCTCAGTTGACAAGCGAAGCTGATGCAGAGGGCTGATAAAGACCACGTCAGAGATCAAGCACCCCTGGAATCCAGTTGTTTTCTCCCAGAGAAACCCTCTGTCTCATGCCTAGAGACTGGATTTATGCAAGGTGTGTCTTGTGCTATCTTTCTAGCTTGCTCACGCCATGCTTTACTTCACCCTCGGGCCCTCTTGAGTTCCTCCAACATACCATGCTCCCTCCTGCCACAGGACCTTTGTACATGGTGGACTGATCTTTTCGCACTTCTTTGCCAAGTTATCTCATACTCTTCCTCTTACAAATCTCAACTTAACAATCAGTCCTCAGGAAAGCCTTCTTTTATTCCCTAGTCTACATCAGGTTTTTAAAAATGCATTCACAAAACCATATTCCCTTTCTTCACAGGACTTATTTCCGTTTGTAATAATACACACATTAGTGTGATTATTTGGTGAATGTCATTCTGAAAGCAGAAAATTTGTTTCTTTTCACTCTTATATCCCCATGGCTTATCGCAGTGCCTGGCACAAACTAGGTGCTCAGTATATAGTTATTGAGGACTGTATATTTACTTTTTACTCGATGTGGATTTATTTAATAGGTCCCATATTGGACTAGGTAGGAGCCCAGGTCAACTCATTCTTAGTTCTGAGAACAGAGTTCAAAGGATCCTAGGTATACCATAGTTTTCATAATTAAGAAACATCCTTTTATAGCAATTTTCTTTTATCGAAAAGTTAGGGCTGCCTCTTGCCCTAGAAAATCACTAATCTAGAACTGATTTATTATTGTCCTGATGCAGTTAACCCATGAAGGCCAAAGTTTGCCCACTTTAAGTCAGAACCTGTTACACAAAACAGGGACAGACTGGCTACAGGTGGAAGGAAGAGGATTCAAGACCAGGTGCCATAAGGCTAGGAATGCTTCCCTCTGATATGGTGCTAAATACAAGGGCTGGACCTCAGAGACCCTGCGGATATCTGGTAACTAGGGTATAATGAGTAACATCTTGCAAAGAACATCAAACTGCAGAACCAAAGGAGGTGTCTAGAATTGAGAAGATGACGCAGATAATGAATTCAGCAGAACAGAATCCACCCTTCTAACACTCAACTTTTCTAGTTTCCTCTTGTGGTGGTCCCTGTTTACTGATCATTTACTTAGCAAGGTACTGCCCTAAGCATATATGTATGTGTATATATATGTATATACATATGCACATATATACACATATATATGTGTGTGTGTGTGTGTGTATAAACACCTTTTTAACAAATTCTAACAATCCTCTTTTTCAGAGCTCCTCTCTACAGATCATGAAGTAGAAGCTTGGCTAAGTTAAAAGACATGTTAAAGCTTACACAGCCAGCAAGCAGTAGAGCTGGCTGAGAATTTTAAGCTTGTTGGACTCCAAAGAATCTGTTCTCAACCATAATGCCAATGTCACACCAAATGCTAGTCACTGGAAGTTATGACTTTTTTAAAAACCATATTGCAAGGCCACTTGCCTTAATATTTACTAATACTTATCTTTACATATATGCACTTTGAAATTTAAATGGATTTTTCAGTATCTGTAATATCATAGGATTGATACAATAGTTGTATTTTATAATATTCATTATCACAAATACATAATTATGAAAACAAAAAACGTCCATGTAGTATTTAGAAGAACCTCGCCTCCCACCTCAGGGATGCTCATACCATACTTTGGGAACCCCACATTTTTCTATACTGAACCATGTTTCTTCTGCCTCCTTAGTGGATAAGAGGCATTATAGAAATGGTGCTAAACAACATATGATTTATCGATGGTTGGTGGCCTGTCTGGTGGTTGGTGTTTTTCCGAGACTATTTTGAAAGATGGCCACTTCCTACCCCAGAGGTGGCTGCACTTCAGAGATGATAAGCAAAAGGGTCCCAGTCTGTACAGTCTGCTCAGTGCTTAGGGCGGTCTGGTGGAAAGTAACTGTATAGATATCAGTTATTATCATTCTCATGATGACAATGATTATTTTACATATGGCTGCTTTAAGGGTGAATGGCACGGTCTCATTTGTATGCCAGCATCTGTCAGGCTGTCACACATCTGCAGAATATAACCTCAACTGTGCTATTAATACGTCCCTTTTGCATTCTCCTCAAGGCATCTGTCTCCTAAAATGCCTAACGAAACTTCCCTCCCTCTTGAAGGCCTGGAGGCAAAATTTGGAAAGCATGTCACCTAGACTGGGGACAGCAGAAGCTCAGCTGAGCCTGAGCAGATTTCTGGCTCTTGGAATAGACGTCAAGGGAGAAAGGGAACCACCACCCACACTCGTTCTGTTAGCAGCTGCACTTGCAGGCAAAATCTGTAGGCAGATTCTCCTAGGCTCAGACAGTATGTCGCGTCTGCTCTGTGATCAACAAAAGATGTCAGTCACGGTCTTAATGGTCAGTTCTCAGTCTCCATAATCACCACGACTGGCTTACAGCTGCATTCTCTGAAAAGCCTTGGGGAACTCTGAAAAGCCTTGAGCACTCTTTTGTGGTGAAGGTCAGGTGTCTGTGTACCTAAACCAGGTCTTTTTACTCATTTGCAACAGCTATACTACATTTCCCAGCCTGCCTTGCAGTTAGATGTGATCATGTGATTGAGCTCTAGCCAATGGAATGCACACTACTTTAGAACCTGGCTCATAGGAGTCTCCCATGTGTGGTCCTACACAATCTTCCTCTTTTGCTGTACAGGTGCAGATAAGCATGGTGACACTGGGGAACCACAAGATGGAAAGAACCTGAATCTCTGAATCACTCGTTGGAGGAGGCTGCCTGCTGATGGAGATCATCAATATTGGACTTTACAAGAGAAATAATCTTCTATATGTTTGAGCCATTATGGAGTCTATTTTATATCGGAACATTCAGAGCTGTACTGTAACTAATAAACACTTAAGGTGAAATTGTCGGCTTCTATTTCACGATTAATTATCCACTGGATAGCTCCACTTTGGTGACCTACCAGTATTTCAAACTCGACATGTCCCATCAAAACGGTACTTTCTGTATGTCAGAATATTCTAGGTACCGGGATACAGGAATGGATCATACAGAGTTCCTTCTGTCATAAAATTCACGTTCAAATATGGGGAAACCCAAAATACACAAATAAAAAAACGAATTTCAAATAGTGATACATGTTATGAAGTTAACAGGGATAGAGGGTTATTGGGGGTTACTTGGGAGTTAGTGGGAGGAAGTGCCTCTGAGGAGGTGACAGGAGTCTGAAGTCTATACGATGACACATAGTTAGCCATGTGGACTCTGGGGGCAGAGTATTCCAGAAAGAGGGAACAGCACATGCAGAGAATGGAAGTAAGAACAAGGTTTCTCCAGGAACAGAAAAGAGGATAGTTGGCCGAAGCAGAGCGCATCAGGGCAGTCTGGTATGATAGGGTATCAAAGAGGGATGCAGGGCCACTATCGTGTGAAATCTTGCAGTCCAGAGTCAAGAATTTGGATCTTATTCTAAGTTCAATAGGAAGCTACCAGCGTGTTTTAATCTGGGGAGGAATGACATCTGAATCACATGTTGAAAGGTCTACTCTGTTATGTGGAACACGTATCGTGTAGGAGAGCAAGAGAGAATGGAGACTAGACAGTAGATTACTGCAGTCACATAGGTAAGACAACAGTGGCCTGTACTAGTGTGGGTCGGTAGAATGGAGATGGAGAAAGATGAGTTGATTTGAGGTATATTTTAGACGAAGCAAAGGCAGGGCTCACAGATATTGGGCTGGGGGGTGGGGAGGCTGGTGAGTGGGAGAAAAGATCAATATTGAGTCTTAGGTCAGTTGCTTAGCTACCCGGATGGTGAAATCATTAACTGAGGTTGGGAATTCAAGTGAAGAGTCAGGTTTGTGGTGGGATGGACCACAGGATAGGTGCTGAATAAATGACCGATTTTTAATATTAAATAGAGGGTCAATATAGTAGGGTGAGAATACTGGGTCAGATACTCATTCAGCAATTGTCTCGACTTCTCTAAATTTTAGCCAAACAGAAGATAATAATACAACCCCATAATGTCAATATGGGGTTGTTATATCAAATATACTCTTGGCAGGTAGAGACTGAAGAAGTGTGATGGGGACATGAGCTTTGCTAATAAAGTTTGGTTTTCTGATCTGGATGCTACTTGCACAGGAGTGCTCTGTCTGTGAAAATTCATCAAGCTAGACAATAATGATATATGCATCTTTCAAAATGAGATTCTATGCATTATATTCCCAGTTCAGTGCTTGGAATTCAAGAAATGGCAGCCATTATTATTTTCATTATTACGATACAATGAAAACCATCTCCTGTGTACCTGTGGTCCATAATGTCCATATAGGCCATTTGTGAATCCATTAACAAGAGGAAGGAACCCTACATTGAACTCTAAGGTCTGGTCTTATAGTTGATAAAGTCAAATCTAGTTTGTAATTCATGACACATAAATGCCTCTGCATGAAGGGATTGACTCAGAGTTCTAATCCAGAGGTAGCCCTGGTCTACTACTTGTAATTCAGTACTTCCCTAACTTTGTTTAGATGAATGAGTATCACAGATGCCAATGTAATTTAAAAGGAAACAGTTTTCCACAAGTTCTAGGTCTTCAATTGTGATTGCCCCTTTCTATTCCACTTTCCCCCAAGCTTGCTCATACCTGAATACTCTTGATTCAAGCCAACTGGTTATTGGCCCCAAAGAAAGGATACTAAAACTTTGATTGGTTATTTCAAAGTTCCATAGGTTAATCCTCAGGTCATCAGCTGACATGTAGGTTTCATAGTCGCTGTTGACTGATATGGAGTTGATGTGATATGTGTGTGCATTGGCAAATACTCTTCGCGGGGTGGCCTCCACCATCAGGTCCATGGGTCTCAGGACAGGCACCTGGAATGCAAGAGAAACAAATCACTTTAGAACCCAGAGCTCTTTACTAGCAAAAGAGCGTGCATGTTTATGTCCTTTATTATCATATACAAAATCATGACTACGTCAAAGGAGCTCTGAGCTGGAAAAGGAGATTGATAAATTACATGTTGTTCCTATTCCCTTTGGTTCCTTTCAGTTTTATTCCTTCCTCAAAAATGTCACCATCCTTTAGCCCTGATGGGCAATTTCATCCTTTATAGATTCTAAGATGTTTTTCAAGTAGCCCTCAAAGTGGCCTCATCTCAGGCGAACTTAGAATCCACTGTGGGGTCATTAGCTTCCAGAGCTGTTGTTCCAGACTGTTTGTTTTTTAACCATGAAATCTTTTTTTTTTTTTTTTTTTTTGCGGTACGCGGGCCTCTCACTGTTGCGGCCCCTTGCGTTGCGGAGCACAGGCTCCGGATGCGCAGGCTCAGCGGCCATGGCTCACGGGCCCAGCCGCCCCGTGGCATGTGGGATCCTCCCGGACCGGGGCACGAACCCATGTCCCCTGCATTGGTAGGCGGACTCTCAACCACTGCGCCACCAGGGAAGCCCCATGAAATCTATTTTTGAAAGGAAGTTGTAGGAAAATTTTAGAAACGTCTAGTTCAACTGAGATTAAAATTTATCCTTCATGGCTTTGGAGGTCTAGACCCCATCCTGGCTTTATCCTCAATCCTTAAGGGAATTTTGGGAAAGCATATATAATCACCCAAATTTCTAGTATCCCAAATTCAGCCATTAATATACAGGGCACCCATTGACATCCTTGGTTTAACCTGTTGTCTTGGAGTACCAACAAGGCAGTGTCCACTTGCACAACAAAACTGTCCTCATTTGGACAATAAATTATATGGTCATCTTACTGGTATATGAAGGATAACCAGTAAATATTTGTTAAGTGAGTGAGTAAGAATATGTGAGTAAATGTTACCTTCCCCATGGGTCAGAGAATCAGGCAGTTAAATATAGTTTTGCACACAAGAAGCTCTTCCTGGCAAATGGGAACAAAGACCCACCTCTGTTCTGACTCCCTCTTTGAATTCAAGGGCACTTCTGCCTACACCTGGGTGAACTGGCTCCTGAGAAAGTAGTGGGAAAACTAACGCCTCAGAGGAGACAGACTAAAACACAATGCAACAACCACAAAACACGGGCCTGGCCCTTTAACAGAAATGAGAAAATAAAAGCACCAAAAGCTGTTTTCTTTTCAGGGAAGTCATCTCTTGCAACTGACCCCTGATTTGATACCAGGTGGTCGATCAGGACTTCAAATTCTGGATTTCTGTCAACCCAGTGGGTGAGGGGAAGAAGGCGGAAACAAAGGTTAAATTTTGTGGAGGGCAGTCACCTCAACAATATAACCTTTTACAAAACAGAATTCTCCCAGCTCAGTCTTGAAGGATTTTGAGGTAGTTTTTAAGTTAAATGAACAATTCAGAGGAATCACAGAATTCTATGCAAATGTGGCAGTGGATATCCTGGAAACCAGAGGAGCTTGAGATACGGATGTAGGAAGAGCCAGGGGTCCTCTGAAAAGCAGCAGTAGGATGGGAGGGAAAGTCTTTGAGAGCCCTCCACCCTGTTCTGGATAATGGTTCTATAGTATAAGCCCAGGAATGGCAAGAACTAGGAGCCCTGGGTTCTGACCACAGATTCGCCCCTCACTGACAGGCTGTGTGAGCTCGGGCAATTATCCTGCCCCTTCTGGGCTCTGGTTATATTATCTGAGATACTCACTGTGCCCTACTTATCAAGAAGGTTGGGATCTGTTGAGATGATTTGCCCTTCAGTTCAACCTCCCACTCACCCTTTCAGCAACATTTGCTTGAGCTCTGTACCAGGTCCTGGGGGGTTCAACTGGTGAGCAAAACCAGACACAGGTCCTGCCTTCATATGGCTGGTCCAGTTGGTAGAGGTAGGTACAAAATCATCTCATAATAAAATGTAGTATGTACATTTTATTTGTAGTAAGTACAAAAGGAGAGGAAATAGCATTAAGAAGGATTTCACCTGCTCAGGGAGGTCTGGAGAAGTTTTGCTGAGGAAGTAAGAATTGGTTGCTTAAAGTATGAGAAGGGGTTTACTGGGCCAGGAGGGGAAGGAAGAATGCTCCGTTCAGCGGAAAGAGCGTGTGCAAAGGTCCCGCGGTGAGGGTGAGGCAAGAATGAAAGATCGATGGGTCAATGTAGTTGAGACAGAGGGTGATGAGAACCATGGCGGAAGATGAAGTGACAGGAGAGGTAAGAGGCAGGCCCCCAGGAAAGATTTTTGCCATCATCCTAAGAGAAATGGGAAGAAATCAAAAGATTTCCAATGATTTTGATATGATCAGGTTCAAAGTTTTGATGAGATCATTTCTGACGTAGAGTGGAGAACAAGTTAGAGGATGAACGAAGCAGAACTTTGAAAAGGAAGGTGATATACTATCGAACGCCAAATGAGGGTGTGTCTGAGTTAAGGCTTTGTAATGGATAAGAAAAGTACCTTTGCCCTTAGGGACTCTCCTGCAAATATTTACTGGGCATTGACTCTGCGTCAAACATTCTTCATACACCATCTCAGCATTTGTTGCAATAACTCTGTGAAATAGACACCAGCAGTACAAAGTACTATTACAAAGAGAAAACCCAGGCTCAGAGAAGCTAAGCCACTGGCCCAGAGTTGCCCAGCTATAGGAGGCATAGCCTCTATAGAAGTCATCTATAGATGGCATAGACTCCATAGAGTCTATCTGACTGCAAATCTAGTGCTTTTTCACTGTATCACACCACACTCAAAGAGCATGCATGGTAAGACGTGATAAATGCTCTGTAAGGGATACGACTACAGTGCCCATAGAATTTATGGAATCAATAGGATTATTGGTAGTAATAATGGTAGTGGTGGTCATAGAATTCTGTGGTTAAGCTGCCTCTAGAAATCTCAGTTTGGTGCTGTAGGTGTTCATGTGTGCTTTCAGAGATACACGCCTGCTCTCGCGGTTTGTCATAAAGGAACTCCCCACCTGGAGCTTTTGAGCTCTGCCCAGCCCCGCAAGGTGGTAGAGCTCAAAGCAGGCTCCCCAGGGCTGTGGAAGAAACGGAATCTGTGAGGACTTCCTGTGGCTTCTCCTCAACTCTTCCCTGGGCCTCCTTCATTACCATGCACTGTCCGCAGAGGCTTCCCGTGGCTCTGGTGGCAGGGAAGGGAGCATGACAGCCAGGATAAAGAGGCATTACCAAGTGGTAACTACCAGCCCAGAGTTTCAGTTTAATGTGATGGGCCTGCCTGCTAATTCAGGCTGACATATTGCATGATGTGGCACTTCATGGGGAAGCTCCGGGTAGGTATCTGGGGAGGGAGTGCTAATGCTTTGCCCAGATAAGGCAGGGGATGAACGTCACTCATGATATTCCAACACCATTCCCATGCCCAGGTCAAGGCTATCCACTGCCCAGTGACACCCCTCACAAGAAGGAAGAGGGAGGTAAGGCAGTTCAAGCTGGACAGGATGACCAGTTAAGAAACCCTGATGGGACTGTGTTTTCTACTACTCCTCCTGGGGCCAGGGAGGGAGAAGAGTGGGACACAGTTCCTTGAGTTTGGCCCACAGGCAACCATTTGGGCTTTCCCTGTAAGATCATGGAGGGCTTCCTGTAGTAGCAGTCACTGCGTTACAGCACCCCTGCCCTTCAGCCCTCTCAGTAGCCGACCTCACAAGGAAGACTCCTTGTTTGCCATTTTACAGGAAAGGGGAATTATCCTGTCTGATGTCACACAGAGAGGAAGATGAGGGGCTCAACTTGGACAATTTGGTTCCTGCGTGAGCACACGTAACCACTGTTACAAATGAAGCTCTTAGGCTGAAATATGAGAATGTCATTTCTGCAAGTCAAAAATTGTCAAAGCTCAGTAATTTCATGCGGTTCAGCCTAACAGTTTGAAAGGACTGTGCCATATGCATGTGACACTGAATCATGGAACACTGAATCTTGGAAGGGCCACGAAAGCCTCTTTCAAGGCTGTCGTGTGTGTAAGTGTGTGTTTTGGGGGGGGGCAGAGTGGGAGGCCATGGTGTCTAGGCCTTACCCTCTTCATCATTCCTGGTAATATGTTTGGATTCTCAATCAATATCTTGCTTAAATAACTATTTCTGTGATTAAGGAAATTTTGAGACCAAGTGGCCCAGATAGTTCCTAAATTCTGCACATGAGGAAATCAGGAGCCCGAGAGGTGACGTGCCACGTCTATGGTCACCCAGTTGGGGTTGTCAACACAGCCTGGGTTTCTGCCACTCATCCCAGAGCTTCCCTTCCTCTGCCCCCCGACAGCAGGTGCCTGAGTCATTCTCCACAGAACCAGACAAACCCCAGGATCAAACCAGGACCTTTACATGGTAGTTCAAACCCTCTTTTCTGAGATATCTTGGCAGTGGCCGTGGGCCTAGACTCATCCCTGAGACAAGGCTGGTGCTGCATTGTGCTTGCGAATGAGAATGGGGGTCAGCCCTCGGCCCTCGCAGGGTACAGGTGGCTCTGGACTGTGATGATGGAATTCATGTCCTCCCCTCAGGTGCCTCATACTCCTCCCTGACCTTGATTCAGTTTCTGCTCATCACCCGGAGCCTGATTCTGAAGGACGAGCACCCTGGCCTGGTTGGCAAGATAATAAGCATCGTGTTAGAGTATCAGCCGAATAATGTCCCAGGGCCCAAGAGAGCAGCCTCAGAGTCTAACCTGCCACGGGGCTTACCTCAGCTGGGGTATTAGTGGATGAGAGGAGCCCAGAGCACCCCGTGGCTCCCTCCGTCACATCACTCAGGGCTCTGTTCAGTGATCACCCCCCGAGAGAGGCCCTCCACGCCCACCCCACCTCGCATAGCACACCCTCCACTCGCCATCCTCCGACCCAGCTGACTGCTCATAATGTTAAGTAATTCATCAGTGAACCCTCATCCGTCTCCTATCATTTAGCTTGGTGGATAATATGATCTC